TAATTTTTCACGATAAACTGCATCACACTAATATTATAACCGTTTACAACGACCTACTGAAATAAAATTACGAAACTGAACAAAAAATTTGGTATAAAGAAACTTGGATTATCCTTTTTTTCTGCGATTAAATTTATATTAAATTATTACACTTCTGCAAACCATAAATATTTTCATTCTAAAATTTATATTATTGTTCAAACCAATATATATTACCCGTATCAGTAAAATTATTGTTGACAGCTTCTAAATATTTCTTATACAAATCCGGTATCACGCTTTCATCGAGATCAGAAGCTATCGCCATGTAATGACAAAAATTTAACAACAATATTGTGACGTTGAAAACTTTTGACCACTCGACTAGAATTCTACTCATGATTTTCTGAACTAGTTAATAACTAGGTTCAATAGCATAACGTTTGTAATGCACCGACGGAAATTAATCATCATAAAACAAAATCTTAAAACACGCCGTTTCTGGGTTCCGTACGTCAAAAATAAAAAACGGAACCCATAAAAGACCACTTTGTTGTCCGTCAGCCAAAACCCTTTATCTAGATAACGCGAAAGGTAGGTATCCAGTTGAAATTTAAACCATATATATACTCAAATTTACGGTCCCCTAAAGCAGTTAAAAAATAAACGTATGGCCGTTTATGTTGCCGACCTACAAATTTGTACGGAATCCTTGGTGGTCGAGTCTAACTCACACTTGTCCGGTTTTTTAAGTGGGAGGAGTCCCACATACGTTTTTCTCACTGCCACGGTTTGTCCAAAATTAAACGTCCAGCCAGCTATTTGAGGAAAATATAGAAATTTTGAAAAAAGTCTTACTCAAAACGTTTCAAAATCTCTCTGCATCTGAAATAAATAGAGCAACGCTACTTAAATGCCATATAACATACTGAGCTACGTTTACCCCATTCGATGGTTAAATTTATATTCATCCATTTCTATGTGAAAAGGTGACAGAAAAGCATATAATATGCATTTAACTGCTGATTTAAAGATCTAGTATTGCTGCTCCATTGGATTGCTAACAATGCTTTCAATGATAATATATTAATCTACAATTGCTTTTCCTTTTTTCAAACATTTAATACCTGTAAAAATATTTCATTTGACATTGTGGATTACCTGCCATACCATGTTGCTGCATTGCACCTTTTTTTTTGTCGATAAGAAATACCTTGACGGACCGTACCGTGCGCTAGCGAGGCGCACGGCGTGTGTGGGACTCACCCGGCGCGGGACACAGCGCCGGTCCTATCCACTAAAACTCACCGGTACCCTCCTACGCCCATAGGAGCGTCTCAGGATCGGCGCACCTCTGTGTGCGCCACTTCACTGGAAAGCCCCCGGGTCGGCCCGGCCCAAAGAATGGACCGGGCGATACGCCTCTGGGGGGTTAAGCTAGGGTACTAGGCAATCCCCAAACGGGGTAGCCTATGCCGAATGGCACCTAGGGCACGCGGTGGCCAAGCCGTGCCCAGACCACCTTAGGGCCGACGAAGACCGGCAGTACCTGCCTTCTTCGGCCCACCCGTCTACGTCGGAGGGGAGCGGCTAGAGCATCCTCCTCCCACTCCCTCTCCGCGGCCTCCTTCTGCGTCATCACCGATTCGCAGAAGGAGGTGGCAGCCTTCCAGGCCCTCTCGCTACCAAGCATGCCTCTAACCATGCTTGGCAACGAGAGGTCTCCACCCCCGAACGCCACAATCAGAGTGCAGCGCTCGTTTCGCCAGGCAGGCAGGGCACACTATTAGCGTGTGCTCGGCCGTGTCGTCGGGAGAGGCGCAGTGATGACACCGCGGCAACTCCTCCCGACAGGCGACACGGTGCAGGTAGTGACCGAAGCACCCATGCCCGGTCAGCACCTGCACCAGGCGGTAGGTGAGGCTGCCCCGCTGGCGCGCTACCCACTCCTCCAACACCGGACCGATCGCCTCGATCGTCCGGTGGCCAGCGGCTGGGTTGGCGAGTGCCTCGCCCCATCGACGCAAAGCCTCCCTCTGTGCCTAGGTGCGGACCCGTTCTACCTCCTCCAGAACGGGCCGCTCGCCGCGGCCCTGTGTTAATGCACCTGGGACAGGACCAGGGCATCACTTTACACGGGAAAGTGCTGCATTGCAGCCCAAGAAATACTAGAAAAAATTCGACACGGTCGATGCTTAGTGCATCTGCCCAGATAGTAGAAGATGCCGGTTTTGAATTCCGTCTCCTGGACCGAGTGTTTTTTTTTTTCAGGAAAAGTTCTTTAGATATAAACATCTAGCAGTTAAATTCTTAAAATCAAAATATATGAAGCTAGCGTTATTTCGGAGGTCCCTTTTCCAGGCGAGCGCTGCAATTCAAAATAAAAATCCACTATGCTGATGCTGAGCGTTATACTTTCACACTAAAATATCTACCTTGATTCTGATAATTTTTGGTACAGTAATAGTAGGGACCCTCTCATCTTTTCAGTCTTATTGCAAATATTAATACTTTTAACAGGGTAAAATAAAGGATGTAACGTGGTATAGTAAAGCGATTCTACCTAGACTAATCTTTACGTAAACTACCTACTAACCTAGTCTGAGAGACAGGTACATTATGTCAATAAACGGAATAGTTACAACAACTTTAAATACTAAATAAATAAATATTTCCTACACTCACACCAATTAGCCTAGCCCCAAAGTAAGCACTGTAAGGCTTGTGTTATGGGATACTAGGGTAATGGATAGAATTCATATATTGTACATATATAAGTATAAATAAAACTAGTTTAAACGGGATAATGCACGAAACTTTATTTATTTATTGACGTTTCGTAGTTTACGGTAGTTAGGGTCAAATAAATAAACGCAAAATTACAAACAAGAATTTTAAATAAAATACTTTATTAAGTAAATTAAATAATAAATTCATACATAGACAATAAAACTTAAAAATCGAACGATGAAATAACCAAACGCTCAATAAAAGTCTTTCGAAGGTAGCTCGACAAATTAAACAAAAGTTTTATTCTGACGACGAAGCCTGGAAAGGCTACGAAACGTCAATAAATAAATAAAGTTTCGTGCATTATCCCGTTTAAACTAGTTTTATTTAATGAGTGATGTGCGTGAAAACCTAAGAAACAAATATATAAGTATATTTATAAAGTAATACATATTAAACATCCATGACTGGAGTACAAATGTTCGCATTCATCACACAAACATCTGCCCCCACCGGGATTCGAACCCGGGATCGAGGTCGTCTTGTCAAACATATTCCTAGTGGAAAACAGATATATAAGTATTTTACGAATGAAACGATTTAATATGTGACATTTGAAAGTGTTGTGTTGTGCCAAGGTTCCCAGAATTTCGCTGGTTCACACGAGGCCATTTTAGTTGATCAATTGCTAAATCGCATGCGATTTAAACCATTTGAACAGACTTTCAATCAAATTGAAGCAACAAAACCGATTGAATAAAACTGAGCTACGTTTTAACTTTTGTTATTCAAGTCTCTACTTGAAAGCGATTCGACTGTTCTGAACCTGTCGCGTTCAATTTGATGTAAATTACACGTCTGCAGCCAGCAATTGTTTGATTATTTTAAGGTTAGGTGCAATTAGAAATGGCAGCGAAAAGGACTTATTGCCTTTTAAGCGTTCTTTCTTTAGAACACTGTAAAGTTAGTATTATGGCGATTCAAAAAATAATATTAACCTGAGGGAAGTCTATCTATATTTTGGAATGTTGTATATGTTAAGACACATCTTTATAATTTTAAATTTAAAAACACAGATACCTGCAGATTAGCGAGACATCGTGGTAGATTGATGTTGCCCAATATGCGTACTCAATATTACAACAAAAACTGCTATCCGAATTGTATAAAAATCTATAATAAGTTACCACGCTTGATAACGGAGCTTAGTTTGGCTATATTTAAAAGAAAGCTTAAAATGTGGCTCATAACGAAATGATTTTACTTAGTTAGAGAATATTTAGATACGAAATTAACTTAGAATAGAATAAATGAAATGACATTAGTACCTTTAAATTTTACAATTAAATTAAGTTTGACATTCACATGCCCTGTCGTTGGCAAAATGGACGAACTAAATGAAAATCTTCTTTAACTGCCCCAAATTAAACATCTCTCTCTATGACATTTTACCTCCCACTATTCCACGTCCTATAAGCATGAAAGTCCTACTATGTTTATGTGATTACCCAACCCTCAAGCTCTTGGCCAAATTTATTTCCCTTAACAAACTAAGATTATAACAAAGCTCCCTGCTTTACTTGATTTATGTTTGTGTTGTCCTAATTGTGACGTTTTTCTTTACAGGTAAAAGTGCTTATAAAATAGGTAACCAAAATTCTGATTTTTAACTGTCATTCCCTTACGTGTAATGGCTAATCACTTGACATTGGCGGAGCTGTGCTAAGTCACAACGCCAGCCATCATAAAAGAAGAAGAAGAAGAAATGAAAATCACCAAAATATCTACTCTGTTTCGTGTGAATAAATAAATTTCATTTCAACGTTTTTCTTAATTTTTCTCGCAATACATCACAAATGTTTAAAATATACTCCCCGAATTTTTCACTTTCCAACTGACATCTTGGTTACAGAAGTTGAGCCAATTCTTATTGAAGCGTCAGAACATTTGCATTAAAATTTGTCTTTGTTTCCTTTTTTGTTTATGAAACTTTATTTAAATTCATAATTATAAGTGAGTATAAAATGCATTACTGGCGGGTTCCATCTAAAGAGGAATGAAAAGCGAACTACACCATCAATCATGTCTAAGATTATATGTATCATGCACGGACCTTGGTATCATGATGTACGTTCCTATACGTAAGTTTAGGCCATCACAATAAACGATTCAGACTATTCTCTTATGACTAAGTTTATATGTTATGTGATGTACGTTGTCGTCAGGCCGTCACAATAAAAGAGTATACGGCGTGTACACCATGTCTTATGACTAAGTTTATATGTTATGTGATGTACGTTGTCGTCAGGCCGTCACAATAGAAGAGTATACGGCGTGTACACCATGTCTTATGACTAAGTTTATATGTTATGTGATGTACGTTGTCGTCAGGCCGTCACAATAGAAGAGTACGGCGTATACACCATGCTGCCGGCGCAGCAGCTGGCGCCGATCGCGCCGTGGCCGCCGGATGGGAACCTGCTCGATCGCATGGATGACCTCGCACACAAAGGTAAAGGTAATGGTGACCGCCATACTTCTATATACGGTCCTGAAACATCGTTGATAATATTTATGTAGAATCAAAGTCTTCTTGTAAACTATCGTCAGCTCTACGAACTGTCATATTATTGCACCCCATTTAAGTTTTAATTAGTTTAACATAATAGGACAGGCATAAAATGATGTAGGTATAGTTGTTTCTTTAGCGGTCTTTTCACATTGTTTTATAGGATAACATCCTTTAATCTGTTCAGCATTCAGAATAAATGATAACCATGTCCTCCAAACATAAAAAATACGAGGTCATTTTAACACCCTTTTATTAGTTCAACCTGTATTAATTTTAATAGTAAGATTAAATGTACATATAAAGTAATTACATGAATATTATCAACGAATTAATATGTAATTTATATATTAAACAAATCACGGCACATTTTTTTTCCTAGCATATTATAATAATAAGTATTAATAGACAAGGCCGGGAACATATTTTGCACCAAAGCGCTATTGGGAATCGAAACTGGAACTTCTCGTCTCAAGTGTTTGAATATTAAAGGTAGCATTACGATTATGATATAGATATACCGTAACAAAACTAACATAATAAGGTTACTTACCTCATTATTTTAGTTGTACTCAGAGCCAGCAATTAAATATACCGAATGCTTGTGTAATGAGGGATCGTCTTATTTCAATGCTATAAAAATTAAAGCATCTTCTTAAATCAAACTTGAAAATAGGTTTACGTCTGTCTAAATGTATGATAAGATATTAATAAATAAAGCGAATCCGCAAATATAAAAGAAATGAGACGATATAAATAACACTCAAGTAATTCAAATACAATTGACTGTACCAATTAATTACACGTAAAACCAAGTAACTAGCTGCCAAACTCGAGTCCAAATATAATCCGACCGAAACTTAATTACGCGTAACATTGTAACGTGATAAAGTCAATTTGCGTTTGCAATGTAAACATCTATGGGAGTACGCTTCACGGGCCACTGGCTTTCTTTGTGCCTGTAACGAATTAACACAACCTGTTGCATTATCAAGTCTACCGTACCACGATGGTATACAGACGTGATTAATTGGAGTAAGCAGGCTTATGGTGCGGCAGGTCACAGCGGTGTTAACCAGCTCGGCGGGGTGTTTGTAGGAGGCAGGCCGCTGCCGGACTCCACGCGGCAGAAGATTGTGGAGCTGGCCCACTCCGGCGCGAGACCCTGTGACATCAGCCGCATCCTGCAGGTGTCCAACGGATGCGTGTCCAAGATACTCGGCAGGTCAGTTGCTGCGTACGTCTCGACAGTCGACACACATTCTGCTCCCTGCACTCGGGGTGTAACCCTGCGACATCAGCCGCATGCTGCAGGTGTCCAACGGATACGTGTCCTAGATATTTGGCAGGTCAGTTGCTGCGTACATATCGAGAGTCGACACACATCCTGCTTCCTGCACCCGGAGTGTAGCCCTGCGACATTAGCCGCATCCTGCAGGTGTCTAACGGATACGTGTCCTAGATATTTGGCAGGTCAGTTGCTGCGTACATATCGAGAGTCGACACACATCCTTCTCCCTGCACACGGGGGGTAGTCCTGCAACATCAGCCGCATCCTGCAGGTGTCCAACGGATACGTCTCCATAATATTTGGCAGGTCAGTTGCTGCGTACATCTTGACAATCGACACTCATCCTGCTCACCGCTTGTAGCCCTGCAACATCAGTCGCATCCTGCAGGTGTCCAACGGATGCGTGTCCAAGATATTTGGCAGGTCAGTTGCTGCGTACATCTCGACAGTCGACACACATCCTTCTTCCTGCACACGGGCGGTAGCCCTGCAACATCAGCCGCATCCTGCAGGTGTCCAACGGATACGTATCTAAGATATTTGGCAGGTCAGTTGCTGCGTACATCTTGAAAATCGACACACATCCTGCTCCCTGCACTCGGGTGTAGCCCTGCAACATCAGCCGCATCCTACAGGTGTCCAACGGATTCGTGTCCAGGATACTCGGCAGGTCAGTTACTGCATATATCTCGTCAGTCGACATACATCTTGTTAACATCCTGCAAGTATAAAAAGAACTTGTTTCTAGATCCTTAGCACCATAATTTAAGGTAAGTTGTACCTATTAGTTGTATATATTAGTTACTACTTTTTTTATCAAATTCACATCCTCTTCCAAACTCTCTTGAATGAAAGTTGTAGGTTAGTTCTGACTCAATTCTTGCTTATTTTGACCCAGGATCAGTTTGCCTTTGCTTTTGCAATTGGAACCCGTAAACATTCTAATTGAGGGTTCTTTGTGTTATTTACGAAATATTTGCTTGATGAATAAAGTCATGAAATCCTAAAATTTATAAAGTAAAAATTTTATTTTTAAATCATAAAACTATAAGAACAAAAAAACTAATCGGTGAAATATTGTTGAAAACATCCAAGTTTGAACCGAACATAGGTGTTGTTGACATTGCTCTAACAACAATTCGAAACTGAACACGATTAAAGGACCGAATAGCTGTCATAACCGCAAATAGTAGACGCGCAACTCTATACTGAACCATTCCAAAAATGTTGTCGGTAAGTTATACCGAGTCTAACTGGTCGCGACCGCAGCGAGATGGCGGGTGGCAGGCGAAACCGCACGATTAGTTACGAGTAGTGTTGCCATACCCTTAAATAAATGTTGGACGACATGCCTTCGCTTTGATGTGGACTACAGTTTTTGCTCATACACATTAACCATCCTTTTACTATCCATAGATATATACTATCTATAGAGTTACTATCCATTGCTGAAAACTGCATCAAAATTCTTTGGGTATAGTTTAAAAAACTAAGCGTACAGAAGCAGCGGAAATTTATTTCAACGCAATAAAATATAGCTCTTGTCACTAAGGGATAATTTAGCTTTCAAATGATGAAAGAACTTGTGAAATCGGTCTAGTATTTTCTTAAGTTCATTGGTTACGATCGTACAGAAATACAAATCTTACCTTTGAATATTACTTATTAGTATAGATCAAGACGCTAGCTAAAGCAGTATTAGTTGTAGTGTTTTCGGTCTGCGCTCGCGGAAGTTTAGCAACATTTGCAATTACCGGTCTTGGTATAGACACGGTGTAGGTGTGAAAAAAATTATAATCTCGAGCTCCTCCGTGCTTCGGAAGACACGTGAAGAGTGAAAAGGGGCAATGTTTTTTTTTCCATACGACTGATTACTACTTTTTCGACTGATTCGTCCCTGATTTTAATCACTAAAGAATTGATTTTCATACATAAAATATGATTTCACTCATTCTATGCTCCTATGCCTTCCTTTTTTCGTTAACTAGTGTTCGAAACTAGAAGCTCTCGAAAAAGGCCAAAAATAAACAATTTTTATTATCACTAAAGACGTTTAGTGTGAAGATTTAATAAGCATTTACAAAAAAAACGCAAACTATATTCTTATTCTTTGTGGAATATTTTCTTTTACATATATCTATTTTTTCAAGGATTAAATCGTCGAGAGCCAATCCTCGAATTTTGCAATTTTTATACGCAATTTTCAGCATTTTTAAATAATAATTATTTTTTCTTATACATTGATAAACGTAAAAATTAAAGGAATATTTCTAAACCAGCATATCACTATATTGGTGACACTGACAACCAAGGTGAGACGAAGGCCGGTATCGCATGACCAGAAATATGAGAACTCCATTTAAGTGTCTTTGGAATTGACAATCTATTTTTCTATTTGCGGTTACGTTCTATACTCAGATTCTGTTAATGTAAACAGTATGGCAATGGAATATGCGAATCCAATTAGATAATTATTTCATCATCAGCCTATTAATGTCCCCACTGCTGGGGCACAGGCCTTATCTATGGATGGAATAGGGAGATTGGGCCATGACCCACCACGCGGGCCCAGTGCGGATTGGCGGGTGCTAACTACTGCAGATGCAGCCGGGACCAACGGCTTATGGTGCCTTTCGAAGCACGGAGGAACTCGAGATAGAAGATTTTTGACCACCCATCCAACGACTGACCACTGCGAAAGTTGCTTAACTTCAACGATCACAGCCGAACGCGCTAACCACCCGCGCCATCGAGCTCCTCAAGATAATTATTTACCAAGGTGTTTTGAGGTTTCCATACCTCGAAAGGAAAAAACGAAACCCCTAATAGGTTCATTTTGTTGTCTTTCTGTCCGTCTATTTGTCAAGACCCTTTATCTCAGGAACGCAGAAGGAAGGTATCGAGTTGAAATTTAATCCATATACTTACACAAGTCTACGATCCATTGTAGCTGTGGAAAATTCAAACTTATAAATGAATAAAAAAGAAGATACGGCCATTTTTATCGCGTACGTACAGATTTGGCCGAACCATCGGATTGGCATCAGATAATGTCCGTGTTGAAATTTCAACTTTACTGATGCTCTTTTTATGCAAGATAAACATTATTTCAAAAAAAGAAAATTACTTTAACATTTCAGAAATTATCCAAAGGACATTGTTCAGCGTCCATACATAATTAGCCAGAACCAACAGTCATGAAATATTATTTTCTAGGTTCAAAATCGTAAGTAAACGACTGTAAAAACAAAGATTATTGACGGACACTTCTGAGAACTTCAATTATTAGGAAAACTAAATTTTTTTTGAGGTTATGTTTAATATTCAATGAAACATAGGTCAACCTATGAATTTAGTATAAACTCAGTATGAAGTGAATTAATATTACACCTAGTTAATTCATTTTATTCGGTGCGATTTTAAAGAATAACTATTAGGAAAAACTTGGTTAGGTAGGAATCATGAATAAAATAAAAACTGTAGTTTTGCTTCTTATTTACTGACTATTTTTCACATAGTTGTATCATATTGTTTATTGTATTTATTTGTATATCACATGTAGGTATATTGTGTAAATATGCAGCGTGAATGTGTATCAGGTGTTCTTGAATAATTTGGCAGTATGATCCTCTCAGGATGTTGTGGCACAGGTTCACTAGCACTTGGTAATAAAGGCTCTGCTCTTTGGTAACATCGATGGCATATTAGATAGCCGAAATAGTTAAATTAAAGGAAAAACAATCGCAAATAAACACACACAACAGGTAATCCGAAACGAGAATGCACTTTTCGGTTTATTAAACTACTCTTTGGAATCACAGTCACTCTAAATGGTTTGGAATGCACGAATGCCACAGATTACTACGAATGCAAACTGCATGCACCAGAACCACAGAGTAACGAGTTTTATGCCGGCCCTTCACTTGACAACAGTTTGTCCTTGTCATGCTTAATAAGGAATGAAAAGGACAGACTGATGTCATGTTTTAAAATAGCAAATACGAATAGCCAAGTGAAGTGCCGGCATTAGGAAGAAAGTGTGTTTTATTTGCAACGCTGCTCATAGATTATACACATAAAATGGTATTTATTGTCTCAGATTATTTTTTAACTTTTTAATATAGCTTACTTAACTGGAAGTGTCCGTCACAATCTAAATACTGATAATTATCGCAAAAAATATACTAAGAATTATCATAAATGCCAAATTGGTGTTGGTTCTTAGGCCAATTTTAACATTGTCCTTTGATAATAATATATTATAACAAGCAATTTAATGCTTCTAAAATATCATAAATAAAAGACGAATTCTTTATTTGATTCGCCGCGGCGCGATTTGAAATATATTTGTGGTAGAAATTCCCGCTTTCCGTGCTAAAGAGGTACAATATAAATCACTATTGATAAGATTTCCTTTGGTACTTTTTATTAAAAAAAATCCTTGAAAGTCCGTTTGCAACTATCAACAATATGGCGACGGTGACAACAGCTGTCGTGTGCCGTTTTGTCGCAAGTAACACGTCATTGACGCGACGCAACGTTCCGAGGAATCGAACCCGATACTTGGGAGTGGCAATCCGATACGGGACCACCCCGCCACAACCTGTCGATACTTCAAAAAAGTCGCAGTTTGCGAAAAAAATAGTTAAGTTAATATTAATTACATTATTGTAATGCTATTCATCCCAACTTAATGATTACCTGTTCAATGTTCATTAATTAGTCCTGTTTAAATTCTGGTAAAGATATGATGAAACAGGCATATACGGTAAATGTACGCCTGTAAATAAATAAGGACTATAAAAAAAATAAGTTTGATATGAAAGTTTGTCTGGATTTTTTTACACATGCCTTTGGAAAAGGTAAAAACACAAACAGGATTAAATCTATTTAAAAAAATAGAGCACGTTAAAAAATAGGAGGAATAAAAAATATAGAGTTTATTTGGAATATAATAAGGTAAACCTTCATCAAAAATCGTGAAAAAATTGTTTTAGTTTTTGGGAGATAGTAATAAAAACCCAAAGGTCGGCTATTTTTGGCTTTACGCAGATGTTTTTAGGTAATGTGAAAAAATGTAAAAACAAGAAATAGTAGATCTTTAATTACTTAGCTACATACAATTTTGCTATTTAAATTTGTTCGATAACAGTTGTAGTTATCGCGAAAATCGTGGCAAACCGTTTCCCCCTTATTCTCCCCCCGCCGCCGTTCCTGACCTCAAATCACCCGTAAAATATTTTTTCTCTTTTTAATGCGTTCTCTTCTTCTTCACGCTTTTAAAATTGGTTTTCATTTTGTTAAAAAAAATCCGTCACAAAAATTTTACTATCGACTTTGGCCTGAATTGGTTGAGAGAATCGTACCTATGTGATGTAATCCCATACTTTAAAAACAAAACAATGTTTTATAAATTTTTCGTGATCAAATAAGGTAATTGATCACGAAAAATCTACGATGCACAAGTATTTTGCAAGTAACATAGCGTAATAGATAAATGGGTGATTAATTTTATCAGCACCATGTTTATTAATTTATTCTTGTATATTTTTATGTAACGGGTGTAACTTAGGGTGCTGAATTATTGTCAAGTCATATTAAAAAGTATGCAAGTCATGCCGGGGTGTTTTCATCTTGTTCTTTTAACCACTGAGATGGCACTGAGCAAGTAATCTCTCCGTTTTATTTTTAACAACAAATTATAACAACACTGTTCTTTATTCTCCTTAAAGGTAAAACTTGAAAGATTTCTAAAATTTTGTGCATTATAACTTACTTACAACTTGAGGTGAATAAAATATCACTATTCCGTTTAACAATACTATTTGTTTTCGTTGTGTTTTTAATGAAGCGATTATAGTTTCCGTAGCCTTACGAGGTAGGGTTAGCTTGTCACTTGGTCTACCTTAAGCTACGGATTTGTTGGGCCTTCATCATCAGCTTATTTATTCCTCACTTATGGGACACAGGCTATTCCTGCGGATGGCGTAATGAGTGTGTCAGTGACCCACCACAGTGCAGATGCTGTCGAGGCCATTTCGTCTTAATGTGTCTTCGGAAGCACGTAGGATCTCGAGATAATAATTTTTTGGTCACCCATCCAATGTCCGCAAAATTTGCTTATATTCCACAATCGCTGACTTAATGCGCAAACCACCTACGTCATCGATCTCCTCCAGCTAGGCCTTTCTTTGTTCAATTTCTGTCCTTGCCCAACTTTCTCACCTTTGTTTAATTTCTGGGAAAGGCATGACATGACCCCTTTGACGTCAGGAGTTGCAACGAGGATATGAGATGACTGCTACCTGCTCATTTCACCCAGCTCAAGCCAGCTGATCAGAACCCTTGTCTCTAAAACCACAGACAATACTCTTGCACCGGTTACCCGACACGCACTCTGAGGACCAAGGTGACCAGTGCGGGTATGTCATGGAAACCTCTTACGACTGGCCAATTACCCGCCATTGATCTATCCACGACTGCGAAAGCTACTTTAACTCTACGATCCTGGACGGAAAGTGCTATCTGCGGCATGGATCGCTTCCGCTGAAACTTTAATATTGTCACCACTCCAGGTACTACGAGACGGGGTCCATCAGGCCGCGAGCGATAGGCGGATCCAAGCCTCGGGTGGCCACGGCGGAAGTGGTCAGCAAGATCGCCCAGTACAAGCGCGAGTGCCCCTCCATCTTCGCGTGGGAGATCAGGGACCGCCTGCTCAGCGAAGGGGTTTGCACCTCCGACAACATTCCCAGTGTGAGTACCAGATTGATTTAATAACTTCCTGCTTGAAACTACAATTTGCCTACAGTGATAGATGCAGGAGGAATATCCTTTAAAGACCAGAATCAGATTTCATTCTATCCATAAATACTTTTCAGTATGTAACAATGTAATGATGACTGATGAAAAATCTTGTGATCTTGTGAGATTTTTAGTATTTACTACGATGATACCTACACCAGGGTGGAGCCACGTGCAGCCCTCCCAAAACTAAAATTCTGGGACCTCTAATAGGCCTAATACTTTAAGTCGAACTAAATTTGAAAGTAGATAACCTTTTTATGATTTAAGGTCGTCGCTGACCATATCAACCCAAAGAGGGATGGTGACTACCGTATCAAATCGAGCAGAGATTAGTATTCTTTGTATGAAAATGCCTACTGTAACGCAATCGTAACGGAATAGCCCCACAGAGAAACAATTACGTCACGATTCCGATTAGTGTGCGTTACAATGTTCATACTGAGAATACTGAACGGCTCGAGTTCATATGATGACGATCGCTTTCCGAGTTGACATGCCAGCTACGACCTTTATTAAGAACTAGCTGTGCCCCGCGGTTTTACCCGCGGTTTATTAGGGATATTTTCCCGCAGTAAAACGTTGCCTATGTGTTAATCCAGGGTGTCAGCTAACTCCATAACAAATTTTATTAAAATCGCTCCAGCCGTTTAGACGTGAAGAAGTAACAAACTCACACACTCACAAACTTTCGCCTTTATAATATTAGTGTGATAAAAAGGAGATTTGACTGACAATTTTCAGTATTGAATTCAGATAACCATGTCATAATCATTAGATTGAACTTATCTTAAGATATAACTAAAACTATTTTTTATAACAAATACAATGCGTAAAAAAGTAGATTTTATAATATATTCCTTCTAATACAATAACCATAAACGTTCAGGCAGTTATACAAGAAACAACCCAACTTTTTTATGGGCGATAAAAGTGACTCGTCGTAAACAGAAAATTGATAACGTTTTATGCAACTTTTTTTATTATATCTATATATATAAAACTCAAAGGTGACTGACTGACTGACATAGTGATCTATCAACGCACAGCCCAAACCACTTGACGGATCGGGCTGAAATTTGGCATGCAAGTAGGTGTTATGACGTAGGCATCCGCCAAGAAAGGATTTTGATCAATTCTACCCCCAAGGGGATAAAATAGGGAATGAAAGTTTGTATGAAACTGTCAATTTTAAACCGATCGGGCTGAGAATTTGCATGCAGATATAAGAAGAATCATAGATGAATGTCATTGTGTATAATACAAGCCTGAGAACAAAAACTGTAGTCTACACTTCGCCTCTACACCGAATCGAAGCGAGGGCGGGCCGCTAGTTGTTAATATTGTTATAAGGAGGCATCCATAACCTTACAGAAGACATAATAACACTATCTGTTGGTAGTGGTATTTCTGTAAGTGAGGTTTCAGGACTCCTTTGCGGTATTTTGTTCAGGCTGGAAGCACTTTGGCACCATTGGTTCCGGCTGCTTCTGCAGTCGTTAGCATTGACCGTTCCGTACTGGGCTCGCGTTGTGCATCACGGCCCAACCTCCCTATTTCATACAAAGGGAACGCCTGTGTCCCAGCAGCAGGAACATTAATAGGCTGATGATGATTTGTTTGGGATTGTTTAAAACATACTTATCAATAATATCACCTACTAGTCTAGCCTTTATTCAGATCTGCATCAACAACGCAATTGTTTTAAAAAACTGTATTTTATTTATTACCATTAGCGAAAGAAAATAAACAAAAATAAAAATTTTCAGAAACACAAAATCTGACACGATTAAATACCTGTCGATGAATGGACATGGAGATATTTGTCCGAAATCATTGAAGCTCAACACTTGAACATTTCCTCGAAACGCCTTTAGGTAGTAGGTACCTACTTCCATTGAAAAAGGTCCTGTCTTAAAATACAATAGCGTGCTGGAAGCCATACCAAGCTATAAGTTTGCAATACCTACCGTCTTTTTTATAGTACTGCCTCCATAAATAATGGCAAACGCGGATTTGGTTTTTCTTTATTACCAAAATAAAACGAAACATAGTCAAAAAGAAAAACTTCTGGATCCACTATGATAAACAAAGATTAGTATAACGCTATCGTACAACTATACATTAAGTATTAATCAGGTCTGTGATTGGTTAAAAACATTTTCCGTGTTCACGAGAATATCTTGTGTACCCTGTAAGGGATCGGAAACGTCAAGAAAATTGTTAAAGATAATTAAAAAACTCTCTATATAACTCGTTAAAAGTGGTTTTATTTAATGATTGGTGTGCGTAAAAATATAAGAAATATCTATGTTAAAAAACAAAGGTACGCAATAAACTTCTATACCATCAGCTACATAAATTATGTTAGATCTGTGTGCTAGAGTTGCGGTTAAGGTCATTGTATTTCTTTAAGACCCTTCCAATCCTTATTTGAACGGTTTATCAAGTATTATCTATCTCTTATAATCGTATTGGACTCCTGGAAATATTTACTGAATGTTATAGGATCAAGGTTAAGAAAACCTTGATCCTATAACATTAGAATAATAAATCATTAAGGAGTATTCTTTAACATGATAATATTTATCTCTATTATTGCATAAACATGCCACTTTATTACAAAACGCCGACTAAGTTAAACTAGAATAAAACAAATGCTGTTACGTTTAAAGCAAGAATAACCTTATTCATCGTTTTGGAAGTAGTAGAAGATTATGAAGCTAAGCAAAACTATGGTCTGTGTCAAATTTTCCCTTGTATTTTCTAAGCTGCAAACCGCGACCATTATGCCACCAGGGCCGCGGTAGGATAATAGTCAGTGCATTCACCCGGAAAGCGAAGGGTGCGGATTCGAATCCCGTCTGCTGCCTGGTCCGCGTGGATTTTATTTAGTAAGATTTTCTTTAGATTTAGAAATCTGGCAGATAAATGCTTAAGCAATAAAAATATAACTAAAAAATATGTTTATTATAAATCTGTCAATATCGGTACGCGTGGTCGCCCTAGCATCACAGCCCCTCTCCGCCCGCCCGCGCGTCGTGGCAAAACAATATGACGTTATAACTTTTTCCTTCATTTTTCCCCTTTTTGAATACGCTCTCCCCAAGAGACATTCTTTAGACTTCGATACTCGATATAAAGGATGATGCTTTTACCGTAATATCGGTTGGAACTACCTGCCTTTATAAACCTTTGGAGAGAGTATGGAAAATGTAGTTAGCTCGTAAATATATTTTTTAAAGATTCATGAGTACTTTACCTATTGAGGAGTGGTTAAATGAATATGGTTGTTGTATAAAAATAACTTATTTTACGATTACAACAATTTGGATACTGTATGCCGAAAATATAATAAATTATTATTAATACCACATTATAAAAAATATATATTGTCCAAAAAAATTTAAGGGGTGTGTAACGTAGTGTTCAATCAATTTCCTAGGATAACATTCCTCCTAACCCATATGAGAACACTAGGTTACAATACCCAATAGTTTGAATTTTGGCGCGAAGGCGCATTGTAGGTTTCAGAACACTACCTTACAGGTGGACAACCATTATCACTTAAGGATATGAAAAATAGATAGTAGCCGATTCTCAGACCCACGGAATATGCATATAAAATTTCATAAAAATCGGTCAAGCCGTTTCCGAGCAGTATGGTAACTAACATTGTGACATGAGAATTTTATATTTTTATACACTCGACCGCAATAAAAACGAACATCCCATTAATAACTTGGCTATCTGTTTCGATTTTCTCAAAAAGTATAAAACTAATACTATCAAAGTTATATCTACAGAAAGTGTGTTGCATAATTATTAAAATGCATATAATTATATTCTAAAGTATTGTCAACTTACTGTGTAATCAACCAAGAAACACAATGCTAACGGTTCGTTAATTAATAAATAAAGTTGCGTTTTACGCTTTTTTTAGAAAATGAAGATAGTCTGATACTTCTTATCATTTGTGTCTTTCTAAACGTGTGTTTGTTTGCTACGTTTTTTCTACCAATTAAAACAATTGTAAAACGACCCTTTTTTTGAGAAACTGTTAACGAAAACTAAAAAAGTGATTAATCTCAATAAATTCCTGTTCATTTTAATAATCATGAAAAGCACTCTCTGTAGGTATAATTTTGATAGTTGTAAGTTTTGTACTTTTTGAGAAAATCAGTCAGAATTCCCAGTTTGTATGTGATCCGATTTCTTTGCTGTCCAGTGTATTGACTTTTCCTTGCAAAGTGAGCGATTGATTTATCTATCAAAACGTATGAATTAATAAAAATAGCGGCTTGATACCAACATACAGTCCATAGACACCGGCATTTCACGGTAGCAACTATAAAATTTCATACCACTTTTGTGTCCGTCATTAAATTATTTAACTCTTTAACACCCGTAAAAGTGAGTACAATAAAAATTAACGAAGCGAAAACGCGAGGGGGTTGATGAGTATTAAAAAATTACGAGACATCTTAGAGACAAAACACCCCCTTGGCTGTGTCGCCGAACATAAATTAATTAATAAAAAGCACCACGCGCCATCACCCTGTCGTTGACGTTTAAAAAAAAGAAAACCTCCGTAAGCACCTCCGAGATATCGGCAAGAAAAACATAAAACCGAAACAGAGGAGAATTCACGGAGGGTGGAGATGGCTATATTGTTTTTGGAGGGGTGCGAAAGAGTTGGGTGTCTGTCGCTTTTTTCCTCTTCAGAAGAGGGAGCGGTCGATTTTGACACGGCGCGGCATGAATAAAGAAAATATGAAGGCTTTTGTTACGGTAAAAATTCCTGTACTAGATAAAGTCTTGAGTTATCAGGGAGCTTCGGCCGCTCGAGTAGGTGTGCGGGTAGGTAAGAGCCTTCTTTTCGCAGGGTTACCTCTGATTTAATTAACAAATCTGTTGGTATTTCTTTTTTAACACGTTTATGTGATTCCAAT